GTGTCCCTCTCTTTGACCTCCCCCCCCCCCCCCATTCCTGTCTCTCCCGCAGCACGTACAACTTTTCAGGGGACGGATTCCACAGCTCGGCGGCCGGGGCCAATCTCTGCCTGGGGTCCGGCGTCCACGGGGGAGTGGACTGGATGAGGAAGTTAGCGTTTCGCTACAGAAGAGTGAAAGAGCTTTACGGCACCTACAAAAACAACGTAGGCGGTAAGTGTCGTGTGATGTTCCCCCGGAACTAATACTACCTGAACCATCGCAACTTTGTATCAAAGAGGAAATTAATGATTCCACACAAGGAGTAACAGGCAGGGTGTGTGTGTGATGACAAAGGGAATGCTCCCTGTGACAGAGCAGCAGATTTAGGCCTCATTCACACAAGAAAAGGCCGGCATGTACAGTTCTGTGCGGCGTGCACGGCTTTATTGATCAGCTCCCGGGAAGGGCAGGTGCTGCGTGTGATTAGTATTCAGCCCCTGTACTTCTCTATGGGAGTACGTGGCTGTACGCCGCCCTACGCTCACCCACCCTGCACGTCCGTATGGGCGTCCGTACTCGTACGCTGACCCGGGACACCCGTGCAGACCTGCACTCGGGGTGAGCGTACGTCGGCGTAGTCCCATAGAGAAGGACAGGGGCTGCGTACTAATCACACGCAGCACCTGCCCTTCCCGGGAGCTGATCAATACGGCCGTGCACGCAGCACAGAACTGTACGTGCCGGCCTTGTCTTGTGTGAATGAGGTGTATCTACATCCAAGGACAAGGATGTAATACAGAGGCGGGCAACCTCGGCCATCCAGATGTTGTGCAACCATAAGACTCTGACAGCCTTTCCTGCTATCTTCTGTGAATTACAGTACACCCCCTTCTGTATGTCATGAAGACAAGGAGGGAGGGAGGTATTCGTAGTACCAATCATGGTGAGGGTGGCGGCATAGATACAGTACAGGTTGTCTTTTCTGCACAGTGGTTTCTGTCAATTGGAGGAACTACATGTCCCAGGCGAGCCCTCAATGTGTCGGAGATCTGAAATTGCATTTTATTGATGCGGCCCAGCGGCCAACAATCAGCATATCTATCGGTGTTTCATTCCCCATGACTGGCCTCGTAGGAGGACTTTGTATTTCGTTATCTGGTTATTGGTCATCATCGGCTGACGCATCATTCTGCTGCACTTATATAAGACGGTTCCATCGCACTAATTGGCGGTTCTCTTTCTGTAGGCCTATTAGGTGCCCCCAAGAGGGAGACATGGCTCCAGCTGCGGGCGGAGATGGAGGCCCTGACAGACTTATGGATGACTCATGCGTTGAAAGCCTTGAACCTCATCCATTCCAGGTGAGTGCGGGCGAATTGTCACATGCGGCCATGTGTCGCTCAGACCTGATAAGGGTTTCACTGCCGAGTGTATAAGGAAATGGATTCCTCCATCCACATTGGGCAGCTTGGATGGAGGAACGTCCCGCTCTAGTCTCCAAATGGTCTATAAAGCCAGTTCATTATGGCAGCTGCCATGTCAGGTGACTGAAGGCTGAAAACTTGATAATGTTCTCCTGTAAGATTACTGGACAGGAAGTCATCTGCGCGACACTGAAAGTTTCCCCCAACCAAGCAGCCTTCGTTTTATATAATGTAACCTAGTTAAGGGTTGTGGACATGGGGGTGTTGCCTGTTGCACAGTGAAAGGCTTGCTTGCTTTCAGTGTCATCACATTTCAACAGAACCGGCTGTGTCCAAAGTATCAAGCACCCAAGGTATAAAGGCCAAACTGCACCCCCCCCCATCTGATGAACTACTTCTGCAGCACAGGTGTTGTAGGTCCTGCCCTTGTTATGCCCTACTGAAGCGTCCAAGGTGCCGCCTCTCCTTCCTTCCCCTTGGCCCGGGTCAAATGCATCCAGAGGGTACTATTGGAGTAAATGGGAATTGGTGACCTGTGTGTGTGATGCACACTTGGCCCATCTACACACGTCCTTAGGATTCTACCTGACTAGACCCATCAATGTGTACAGTGCGGCCTTCT